TTCTCAGTAGATTATATATGTTTCCTCAAAACTTTGTGGGCAAATGTAGACTCAAAAATACTGTTGGCAATTTGCAAGAAAAAGTAAGTTTTAACAAGGCTGAAGGTACAGAATTCTTCAGCTTTTATGCTCTTTCTGATGCTTAGATATCTTCATTTAGGGAAAAATTATGAAGACAATAGTCAAATATTGAATCAGTTCTCTGCTGTCAAAGGTCTTTAAGAACTCTTGGCTGCACATTTACACTCAGCTTTGTGCTGTCTATGAAGAAAGGTGGAAACATCTGTTTAAAAAAGTACGACGTTCCAGGCACAGAACAGTTTTGTTGAAGATAACACCTGAACCTGGACTGTGGGTTTCCCACTCCTGATCTAGAAGAATTACAATGAGAACTTTCCTTGCTTTCCTTATGCTTTCCTTAAATAAGAAAAATCTGGGATTCAGAGCTTCTAGAAAGCTGTTTTCCTGAAAGCGCATTCTGATTCCAAAACCCAATCAGGCTATCATAATTTACGTAGTTGGCAAGAGTTGGAGTTGTGACACCTACAATGAAAAAGCTCTGTATGTGATATTGGGCAATGTCTCGTAAATCATGCAGTTTGCCAGCTACCTGTCAGAGGAGAAAATCCTGCCTGTAAATTTAGACCCACACAAGTGGTTCCTGGTTCCAAGTGCTTGTAGGTCAGACCTTCCGATCCACCTTCAACACCTTGCCAATATTCTGCCCTGCTAGTGCTTTTCTCTGGGGAAACACATCTTTATGGCTTTGACAGGAAAAGTTCAGAAGTCTGCTTTTTAATAAAGAAAGTGCAGCAGTTAACTGCCAATCCAGTTCATTCTTGTATGAATTTAGTACATCATATTAAAAGGAATGGCAGCTAATGTTTTCAAAATGGGATATCTCTACTTAGGTGCTTTAAATTAAATTTAGATGTGTGAATAAAATTAGTCTGCCTTTCAGGAGAACTTGGCAAATCAAGTCTCAACTGAAAGTTTCCACCTTGTACTGTGTCTGGCTGGGATAGAGTTAACTTCCATAACAGCCTGGATGATGCTGTGTTTTGGATTTGTGGCTGAAACAGCCTTGGATAACACAGCAGTGTTTTGGCTGTTGCTGAACAGTCGCTGAACAGTGTCAAGGCTTTCTCTTTTTCCCACTCTGTCCCCTCAGCGAGTAGGCTGGTGATGGGCAGGTGATTGGGAGGGGACACAGTTTGGACAGCTGACCCAAGCTGGCCAAAGGGTTATACTATATCATATAACATCATGTTCAGCAATAAAAACTGGGGTAGAGGAAGAAGAGAGTTTTGACTTCTGAGGTGACCTTTGTTTGGAGACTGGCTGAGCATCAGTCTGCGTGTGAGAAGTGGTGAGCAATTTCCTTCCGTTCACTGGGGTTTTTTTTCGGGTTTTTTGTTGTCTTTTCTTCATCTTTTAAACTCTTTATTGTGACCCACAAGTTTTCTTGCTTTTGTTCTTCCCGTTTTCTCCCCTAACCCTGATGGGTTGGGGCTGGGAGAGAAGAGAGCAGCTGCGCGAGTGCTTGGATGCTGGCAGGGGACAACCCACCACACACCTGAACACTCAGGTATTGACTTTTCCACTGGATTAGGTAAATAGCAGTAAATTATATTTATAGCCTATCCAATTAAGGAAATGCTTAATCAGCAGCCTCTGATTGAATCACCTCTACTCAGGCAGCGAGTAAGGCAGTTGTGCGGTGTTCCCCTCTCTCGTTTGCAGTGAGTATCCTGTAAGGGTTTGGGTGTAAAGGATGCTACAATGGTTTCAGGAGGATGCTGTACCATCTGCTACCTACCCACTCAACATGAGTTCTTGTCGCTGTTATTACCACCTCTAGTAAAGGGATGGGACTTGTTTCTGGTAATACGCAGTCCTAGAATTTTTGTTTCTGGAGAAATTAAAGTTTTACTTGTACTTGGCTGGTGTCACACAGTACTTTCAATTGTTTTTAGTTAACTTCAATAATGCTGTAATAAAGATAATCCTTTAATATGTTAAATAAATTAATAATCCTATTATCAAGACACTTGTTAGAGACCTAGTAGGAAATGGAGAGCAAATTCTGGTTTTAATTTAAAACATTAGTTTAGTGTTGTGGCTGACAATTTTGATGTGTCCACGTAGATTAATGGAATGTATGCAGCCAAAGTCCTAGAAAAACAATTAATAAAAACAAGCTTTTAACTAAAGTATCTATCAGCACACTTGTTTTTCAGTAAATATATATAATGTTCTAAGTTATACTTTTTGTAGAAATATAAAGCATATAGTAATTTCATAATATCTTCAGTATATGTTGATTTTATAGACCTCTTAAAGACCTAAGAATTAACCTAATGTGTTTCTTAAGAGCAACGGTAAACCATTAGTATTGACTTGAAATGGTTTCCAATAATGTTATATTTTTAGGAATTACAAGGATGAAGTGCAAGTATTTTACTGTTTAATAGAATGAATCTAAAGTCAAGAAATCTGTTGATTTTGTCACATCAAGTATAATGTATCAGTTACATTTTATTACATTAGGGGTAGTTATAAATATATATATGGTAACATCTCTGTTGAGCAGTGTTAAATATTTAATACAGAAATCTAGCAGTTTGTTTCTAACGATCTGTCTCTAAAATACCTTAAGCTATTTTTATTGAAGACTACAATAATGAGAGGTTTTTTCTCCTTATGGAACCAACTAGCTTAATGACAAGTTGACATTATTTTTAAATTCTAGGCTGCAAAATATTTTTCCTAAATTAGGTATATAATTTTTTGAGACTGATCTTGAATGTTCACTGTGTCTTAAAATCTAAATGGTTATCATCTCCTCTTTCTTCCCTATGGCTGGACGTATCAGTAGTACTTCTAGTGTCTCATTCTGCTAATTCAGTGCTTTCATTAACAAAAAAACCTTAATGTTAACAGTTTAAGGCTGGTTTGCTTTAGCGTGGACCTAAAGTTTAGGGATGCTGTTTTAGTTCATTTGTTGGAAGAGAGTTGGAATGCTATTTGGTGAAGTTTGTTCCAAAGATTTCTCTTGAAAGAAAGTAGGAATTCAACACAAATAAAGAGATATGAACTGTGTATTGTAGTTGGTAGATTTACTTGCCTGAGAATTTTCAGATTCATATGAGTTTGTCCTATGTATAAGGTATACCCTGATGCGGTACTGAAAAGAGGAAAAAACAAAACAAAACAGAGCAAAACCAAGCAAACTTTTGTTTGGGGTTGTTTGGTTTGGGGATTTTTTGACAGCTTTCATCAACATTTATTAATATTTTTTTTTCCCTTCATAAGAGGCTTCCATTAATGGCTCAAACAATGGTTTCTAAATCTGAAGACAAATCAATTTCTTATCATCCAAACTGTTCTCATATGTTTTCTTTCTGTGTTTTTCTATTTATTTATTTACTTATTGTTCTGTATGAGAAAGCCTTTTTGGAAATCACCTGTTTCTGGAAACAACACAAAGCAACTTAATGTGTGAAAGGACGGCACATATTAGAGTGTGGATGTAACTAAAGCAAGCAAATCTTATGCTATGAATGTGGAAAGGCACCTGAATGTTTTTCCAGGACTTTTTTGCAGATGTGAATAACTCAGATGTCTGAGTAAATAATATCTAAGTTGAAATGTATACACACAGAGAGGAAAGAGCTAGAAAAGCTGTCTTTCATCACTTTCTGTATTGAGAGAAATCCTTCTGCAAATGTGTTCATTGCACCAAAGCATCACTAGATTCACTATGCCCCTACAGACCTTGCTAGCTCTGGTTAAGTGGATTTTCTGCATGGGCGTATAGTAAGCATTTCAGTAACAGGGAATGTATGAGGAGAGGAGGCAAGAAAAAAAGAAAATCCCATGCCATAAGAGGAAATAATTTGTTCCTGGAGAGGCTTGTGGCCAGTGATGGCTTGGTGGACTTTTGTTTGAGTGATCTTAATTTACAAATGAAGACAAAAAAGGAAGGATGGGATGCTGGAATGTATAATCGCCTTACTTTAAGATAGCTTTTGCAAGTACAAAGTTACATCAACATGGAGTCTAGACGGCTGAAACCATTTGAAAAGTCCTTGATCCAAAAATAACACATTTTACAAATTAAGTGTGAAAAAATCATTAAAAGGAGCAGAAATAAGGTGGTTTGAGTACCTTCCAAAGTGTTTTTTTTTCCCTCTTCTTCAAAGGGACACTTGGTTTTATAGAGTTCTATTAGTTACTATGTGCTTCGTTTTGAAACTACTGTACTTTAAAATTTGGTTAATGCTAAATTATTCATTCTTGTCAGTTTTTACTTGGCATAATGTTTGCAATAATGTAATTTGTGAAAATTCAGTCACCTGATATTAGCCATCTTCTATTTTTTAAAGTGAAATGTAAGGATAACGTAGGAAACTTATAAAAAGCTACCCATTGTCATCCTTTTAGTGATACTGAAATATATGATAAAATACCAGTTCTTCAAGGCATATGTATATATAATGATTTTAAAGCAAAGTATAATTTATAATTCTAAAGCTGAAGAAATATGTTTGCATACATATAATTACATATATTTTTAATTTGATTTTGAGATATGCTTTTAAATGGAAATATATTTCATTTGCACATGCTATTTTAGTTTATTTCATTTTGTTCTGAGGACGTGAGGATCAGTGTTTAGGCAGAAGGGTAAGTTCTTAAATGGAAGGCTTCTATGGGATTAGGAGTATTGTTTCTTGTTGGCTGAGTGTTACTGTATCATTCTCACTATTCATAAATACGTTCTGCAAATACTACAGTTATTACCTGTCATATTTATTGCATTTTTTTCTATAATTATAATTTAAAGATATTAAAATACAGAGCAGATTGACAAATTGAATCTGAGACATCTAATTATTTTTTTGGTGGTGTTGTAATTCCTTTTTTCTGACTACACTGTCTGAAGTCTTATCCATCAGTTGTTTTCTGTGGGCTTATGTTCATGCACTCCATTGCAGGTCAGTTCCTCCTAGAAGAATCTCGCCTGATAGAAGCAGCTGAGATGGCAAAAAAAGCAGCTGAACTTGATAATACAGAATTTGATGTTGTATTCAATGCAGCCCATATGCTCAGGTTAGTGCTTTTACATTCAATGCAACCCATATGCTCAGGTTAATGCTTTTATGTCTGCCTTATTTGATTTTCATTCCCTTCTTTTGGAGGAAAAATGTCTTTATAGCCTTTGCACAGGGTTCTTTTTAAAGCCTAGCAACTCTTTTGAACAATTCAGTATTGCTAATAAGATAAAAAGAGTTGGAGTGAAACTATTGCAGGATTTAGAACTTTCTATTTCTAATTTTCTATGCATTATCTCATAATTTCTTACCTTTAAAACTTTTGTTGTTCACAAGCAGGTAATAATTTTTCCTTGTGTACAAGAACAAGTGTTTCTTTTATGAAGAACCTTCTGCAGGATTTCCTTTCACCTGATTGTTTAAAATTTAGGATGTATAGCAACTGCAAATAAAACCATATTTCTGATCTGGATGTAACTAAAGAATATTGAAAATGTCAAATTTTATGTTTATATCAGTAGGGAACACTACATTAATTAGAAATCTAAATATTCCCAGGCTAATGATGCCTTTGAGATTCATAGGAGCACTTAATGATATTATCAGAATCTGTGATTTAAAATGTAGTCTTATAGTTAATTCTCTTCTCCTCTCTGAACAGAATAAAATTTTAAACTTCTCTTTTTCCTTTTAAAGCTGTCAGACCTGGATATTCAGAAACATTAAGCTTCTGCCTGAACAGTGTCATTAAACTCACATTACTGTAATAGGTATCCTCCATGCTTATTTCTAGGATAACTATCTAATTATTGTCTATTGTCCGCTTAACAGCTATGAGGATACTTGATTTCATTTTATTCATTTCAGATTATATCTATCCTTTGAAAATGCATAAAAAGGAAATAAAAAATATACTTAATTATCAAAAAAACAGTTAATTGAGATGGTTTTTCTAATGAAGATATCACACGTGTCTGTTTATTCTTCTAACATTTAGAATACGAAATGAAAGGAAAAGAAAATGGTATTAAAAATAAGGTAGAAACAGCTTCAGCCTGGTGACCTGTGTTTCAAAATGAAGGCTTTTTTTACCAGGATTTTGAAATAAGCCCCAGAACGCCCTTTGAAAAATAACTCTCACTGCATGTAGGTTAGAAAGGAAACCAAGATAAAGGGTTCACTGATAAGCAATAGTTTGACCTGCCACAGGTTTATGAACTATTTTAAAGATCCTTCCCTTCCTCCTCATTATTTTCTGAATGATATCTCTTGAGACAGAATTCAGTAATTTGAAACGTTTAGATTAATGACAGAAATTCACAGACAGAAGCATGGCAAGTTAGGCATGAAAGCTGGATCCAGAAGACTACAGAGTGTGTCAGACTGATTTCAGTGAGTGTGTCGTGGAAGATGGCTTAATGGTGTGATTTTTTTTGGTGCGTATTTTAAAATGTGGTGACATAGGTTTAATAGATCTTTTACTTTCTCTGTGAGCATTGAGTGAAGCATCTCAGGTATTGAAGGCACATGTCTTTACATCAGGATATGAGTACTTTTCAGTCTCAGTAAGAGCTATGCTGCTGTACTGTGCATCAACCATGGTTACCCTACTTGGTCTGCTTGGGAGTGGACACTTTTTGTGAGGTTTTGACCATCTTTGAGCTCAGTGATTCTAAGCTGTGTTCTCTATTTTAGCTGTAAGCAAAAACCAAGACTTAAAAAAAAAAAAGAAAAAAAGAAACAAAGAAAACCCACTAAACCAAATCCCTTAAAACCAAAATAAAGCCCTGGTGGTTTAGTTTAGCTGGAATCCAACTGTGCTCCTTTGGGATATTCAGTTAGTCTAATTTTTCACTTAAATACTCAACTTTCTTTGTGGAAGATCATAATGCCTTCCTAATATGTTCTGTGAGTCTAAAGTGGTTTGGAGGATTTTGCAAGAGTCAGGGTGGCAAAGTAAAATTCAGTGCTGCCAAGATTTTGCTTAAAACTGCATGTGTTATGATCTGACTGATTTTTGCTAAAAGGTTATGATTCTGTTGTCTGCCTTTGTTCAGTGCTTTACTTAGCAATGTATTCGATATATTGCTTACATAATATCTGTTGGACAAGGGGAATGTATATTCATACAGCAGGACAGACCTGCTACAAATCCAGCATGAGTCTGTGGGACTTCAGAATCAGCTGATTTTCAGGAAACTTGGAGTGATTGGGAGCTGAGGTGAGCGCAAGAGGAAAGCGGATACCAAGGTACAAAGCAAAGAAGGGAGTAATCCAAAGAGCATAGAGTGACACAGCTAGAAACTGTGAATGCTAAAGACAGTCATAAATGAAAGGCTGAAATTATTAAGTATGGTAGTATGAAATTATTAAGTATAACAGTATGAAAATATAGGTAACCAACTGCTCTTCAGGTACCATAGAGAGCTATTACAACTGACTGGTAAGAATTTTGAGTGGACTGCACAGCTGTGAGGTAGAAAATACATTATGGAAGTTCAAAGGGCATGGATTTGAATTGACCGTTGTGAGACAGAAGTGATAAATTTTAAAGTTGTGTTGTGGACTAAGAGACAGAAATTGGTATTAATATGGAATAACGCATGATTTCCAAAATGACTGGGAGATAATAACTAACTTAGATTTTTGTGTAAATTCTAATGTATTTTTTTTTCAGACAAAATATTCTGCCCAGTGAGGTACTGTTGAATTAGAAATGAATCATCTTTCCCTCCTGTCGTACTCCTGTGTCCACCATTAGCCCAAGGAGGTCACATGAATGAGAAATATGTAGACTTTCCTTCAGAATTTCAGGCAAATTCTTTCAAATTTGGGTTACAGCTGCTTTGGATGGAAAACAATCACACTGTTCCCTCCAAGTCTACTTTATTTTTCTACTCTAGTGCTAAGATATTTTCCTTATTTTTAGCCCCTTTACTCTCTGAGCAAAATGTTTAAATTAAAATGCAACCTAAATGAAAACTAACAAGTTTTGAAAATTTTGAACCAGAATGCTGCGTGTTAATTTTTTTCCTTAAATTTGCAACAGAATTGTTGTTTCCAAATATAGCAGCTGTATATATAGATGGCCTGTTCTCAGTTTAGCAGTCACAAGAAAGACTTCTGCTCCCTCTGTCAAGTATTCCAACACTGTTTACTTCCTCTCTTTGTGACTAAATCCAAAGCTGAAACCAAGAAAAAAAAAAACAAGTTCTGTTTGCATTATTGACAGACCTCTCTGTTCCTAATTACACAAACATAGTTATTAATTTTTTGCCTTGATGACTTCTGTAGGATCCTGATAATGCAATGCCAGATGAATCAAGTCATCTGTAATATGGGTGAGATGTGGGATGAATGTAATTAATTTCTTTGCAACAGTCTGGTAACTTTTAACTTGCATAGTACTTGCCTGTAAAATTTGTTTTCTCAATAAATTTGTTTTCCAGACAGCTTCATTCAAGGGTGCATGTAGCTGTTTGGCTGGTTCTTCTTAAAACAGTAACTAGTCATGTGTTTTACTTACGTAGTATTGCTATGCTCTTGCTTATAGCCTCAGTTTGAAGCCTTTCAGCAAAGCTAGATACGTTTTAATGGAATATAGTGAAGCATATATGGTGGCTGTAACTTCAGTAACCAAGTCATTTATTAACAGTGCTAATTTTCGCTTTGTAGTTGTATACTGAGGTGAGCTGCCATGAGATAGGCTTAGATAGGTTTCCTGTGATCTAGGGGATGATTACTTTTAGGAGGAATGGCAGTGTGGTGACACTGCCGTACTAATTAGAAACAGGAAAAGAGCTACATATTGTCTCCAAATGAAAACAAGCAGAAGATAAAAAGCTTTGCTTATAAGCACATTTTTTAGGAATAATTGTTTTTTTCATGCTTCTGTAAGTCAGTGGGTTGTTGTGGGAAATATTCATATTACATGAAGTTACAGCATGTTTATTGGCTATTTTGAAAACAGAAGCCTAAATTAGAGCAATACTACATGACATGGTCTTCATTTTTCAGTGGATTTCTATGAGTGTATTTTGGCTTTCCAAAGAACACTGACTGAACACAGTGTAGCTGCTGGCACAGTCCACAGGCACAAGTTTACCCTATGTTATTGCCTAAACAGTTTTTATTCATTCTTTAATTACTCTCAATGTGTTTAAATATATATATGTATGTATGCCTAAGCATATAGTCTATGTAAATTTTGTAACTGTTGTAAAACAAAAAAATGTGGATGAAGGGTTATATGTATGGAATCTGATTATGATTCAGTTGTAACACAAAAAGGCCCATTAAGAGTGCCAATTATCAACATTCAGTATTTTCAAATAGGAATCTCTTTGAAGAAAACTTCTTTATAGCTGAGCTGATATCTATGATTTCACTTCAAAAAAATAATCAACAGTTTGACGCCTTATGCCAAGCAATAGGCAGCTTAAAAATAACCCTTTCCCATTCACATGTTTGTGTATCTAAACCAGTCAGGTTTTGTTTAGCTATAAAGCTAAAATATTTTTTCCAGTGATCAACATAAATATTCAAAATTAATGCAAGCTGAATTTAACTGGGTGCCAGGAGGAGCTGAGTGATGTGTTGTCAGGCCCATTTGTGAGGTGTCACTAGCGGTTAGCTGGAGCAAAATACAGAGAACTGGTGGGTCTGGAGGCTCGGGTTAAGAGATATGAGAGAATGAAAAGAGGAAACACTTTTATTCCTTAAAGTAAGATTGAATGCTAGGTGTTAATGGGGGGAATCAGATGTGTTTTCAAGGTCAGTCCTCATGAAAAGATTTAGGATAGAGGTTGAAATGCAGCTCATAACTATGAAAAGGACTCTGTCTTCCGAATTTCTCTTTGCTTCCTTTCTGTTTTATTATCAACATTTTATCTAATGTGAATTATGTTTCCTTTAGTAGTGTCCTTTCATTGTTTGACATTGATCCAGAGCCCTTTACTGCTTAGTAGCATAGGGTTACTGCAATTTCCTACCTCTGTGCCTTTTAATTTCTCTCAAGGGAAAGCCATTCCAGGGCTTAACATAATGAATTTCTAGTTTAGATTTCCAGTGAAAATGGGAACCAGAATTCTGCTGTGTCTTAACTAAAGGAACTGTTGCTGAATGCCATAGAAATGGAACTGGCATTTTCCTGAACAGGTTACTGTGGTGTGCATTCAGTTCTATAATCCATTTTTAATGGAGGACTATAAATTCAAACCAATTTCAACATAGGGATTAATGATCCATGTTTCAAGATGTACGTGTGGGAGACAAGCAAGCCATCTATTTCCACGGGCCTAAAAGGGGACAGGATTTTAATTGCCATGTTCACATGCCAACAACACTTTTTGGAGGTGAAGTGAACCGTCTGTATCTGCCTCCTGGGTAAAGCTCCTTGTTTATTGTACAGAATTTCACCATGTTCAGAAATGCTTTGTTTCCTGATAGTTCTGTGCCAACATGAAAGAAAAAAAAAAAAAAATGTCTGTGAATTGTTTCATTTTATATGCCTTGTAGAAAATCCTGAAATTTGGAATGATTTTTTATTCCTGTTTTTTTTTTAAGTCATTTCAAGTGCTACTAATGCCCAGCAGGAATGATTCAGAAGCAGGTTAAATGAATATTTTTGGTCATTCAATCATTTCTAACCACTGCAACCACTGAATCGATGATACATGTGCAAAGTAATTTAAAACAGTTAACAGGTATAATCTGGATTCTACTTGGCAAATCATTAGTCAGGAAGTGGTTTCAACTTGCACGTGAATTATGTGAGAAACTTCAAAGGGATTATCCTTCCTCCCTTTCTCCTCCCAAGACCAATAACTGTCAAAATATGTTGATTTGGGTTAATTGCCTATCATGTATTATGTGGATAATGTGGATAACATTTGGGTGGATGGGAACACGATTTGATCACTGAATAACAAAGCGTGTAAAAGCTCATATAACGAACAAGGTAGAATCTCCAGATAGAAGTGCTCAGTTGATTGATACTCTTTGAACTACTGACTGTTATTGAAAGGAGAAAAAAAAGAAAAAAAAGAAAAAAAACAACTAACCCCACTCAGGAGTTTATCCTTGTTTTCTAATTGTTCCATTTTATTTCACAGAAATTAATCTGTAATCACATAATAAACATAAATACACTGAAGATCTCCTGTCCTAACTCTTCTATGAAGAGACCTAACACTTCATAGAAAAAAAAGGAAATAACTTTAGCAGAAGATATGCAGCCTGCCTGATAGTCCTGCTTGGTTTTTCTTACATATTAACAATCTTTCTCATGCCATGTATGCGATCAACTGATACTTGTCGGACCAGTAGTCAAAATAAATAGTTGGAGGGAAATTAAGAATGTAGGGACAATAGGAGAAGAGAGGCATTTGAGAGAAGAGTTAAAAAGGACCTGTTGAGATAAAAATATGTTTGATTTCTTTGGCAACTTATTGTATTTCCATTTGAAGGCTTTAAAATGAAAACTCAGGAGAATGAATAAAAAATAAACTACTAGGAGAACGTAGATGCCATCTATATTAATAAGGAAAAAAAAAACCAGGCAAGCTGATAGTGCTTCAGGTACCTAGAAACTCACCTATTTCCTTGGGATATGAGCTCTAAGTTTAAATCCACTCTCAGACTGATGTGAGTAAATTTTGAAATCAGAACTCTAATTTCTGAATGAAGTCCCTGATTCATGGAAACCTTTTTTTTTAGATATCATTATATTCTCTGATATTTTTTTTTCTGGAATGCTAGTGTTCTTAGCAGGGCACAAAGAAAGTAACTGCATTATTGTATGATCTACAGCTTCATCATTTTTAAAGTATGGCTAATTATAAAAATCGAGCCAGATTTTCCTGATGAAGACTGGTACGTCTCTATTTTTGCCTCATGTGAGTTGGCCTTCAGCATTTCTCTCTGGTGTATACTAATATAATTTCAGGACTAAGAAGAAAATAAGGTAGGCAAAGAGGATTTGTGATAATGGATATTCTAAACTGTGAAAAAATCTTTTAGATTGATATATTTTGCGCATTTGTTAGTAATATCCTTAAACAGTGGGGAGTAGTTGCAGTATTTTGTTTTTAGCTATACTCCTTTAGATATGGTTAACCCAAGGAAAATGAGGTATAACTATATTTTTTTTTTCTGTCCTGATAGACAAGCCAGTCTCAATGAAGAAGCTGAGAAGTATTATGAACTGGCAGCAGGATTAAGACCTAACGTAAGTATCTTCTTTGTGATATCCATTACTGAAGTTGAAGTACATGCTACAGTGTTGAACCCTTTGTGTCAAGCAGAAACTTCTTGCTGCAGCATTTATCTCTCAGCCTATATAATACATGTTCTTTTAATGTTTAATTACTGTATAGTCAGTTCATACAGATATCTGTATGAATAGATAAAGTTGTTCATTTGTCAAATGAGTCGCTGTGCATTCAAGCTGTCTCAGTGAAGTGTTCTAGCAACAAGTCTTACTTGGCTAACATACTTGGGAATGATTTCTAGATTTAGATTTATTTACCTACCTTTAAATGTGTTAAGTTTGGAAAGCTCTCCTAATTCCATCTATTTTCAGTAGTAAAAGACAATGAAAAGCTATTCTGTGATCCACTGTTTAAGGCATTTTAAAGAATGCATTTATGGCTTTTCCTCTGTCATGAACTTCTGGTAAACATTGTTGTTCAACAAACTTATAGGCGATTTTACCTCAGAGGTATTTACCTCTGAGTCTGTCGTATATTGGCAAAGAAATGCTTATTCCTTGAAGCAGAAGTATGTAGGAGTATATGACAGACCCTATTTAAAAATAACAGCTCATTTCCAATTTCTTTTTTGCATCAAGAACTAAAGAAATATATTTTCTTTTTACCATTTTTTACTCAATGTTAGATTTCTTTTCAATTCCTTCACATTTTGGGAAAAAAAAAACAACCCACCACTCATAAATATAAATGGGGCAGGATTTATTTTAAATATCTGATAATTTGTCTAATAAATCAAATCTAGAACACATTCCTATCACAGAAGTCTATAGTGCCAAATTTGAGGATACAAGTTAGCAATTTCAGTAAAAAAAAACCAAAACAAACAGAAAAAACACAAGTAAAAAAAATAAATTAAAAAATGCAAGCTTAAAACAGAAGAGTTTTCAGACCCAAGAATCAAAAGCAACACCAGCTAAAACTCAAAACAAGCTAACAAAATATAATTAAAAAAAAATTCAAAATAACTTATTCAAATGAAATTATGCACTTTCACATCATCTCTTAAAAAAACCTCTCTAAAATCTGTTTTTCTTTAATTCATACTTTGTGGGAAAACAATTTAGACTTTGTGATTCCTTATGCTTTGAGATGCAAGACTTTTTTTTTTTCTCAGTGGATACCTTAATGTTGTAAGAATTCCTCTTCCCTTTTTTGTGGTTCATTGTGCTCTCAAAATGTTTCTCAGAAACTCAGAAATATATTTTAATATATATTATGGGATATCACTACACATTATGATATATTAATACACAATATGATACATTAATATATAGTGTGATATATTAATATACATGGTATATAGATATGATTATATGTGTAAGGTTTCTCAGAGAGCTTTGGAAGCAACTGAGGGCTTCCATCTCATGGCAGTGGTACTATAAAAGTTAGGTATTGCTGACAAGATTTACATGTTTAGACCCAAGGATCTTTTTTTTGCAAGATAAGATCATCAGAACAGTTTATTTCAGCAACTGTCTTCTAACTTTGATTAGTTTAAGTTAAAATCTAATAGGTCCTGTTGTTCAGCTTTCTTTAAGAGATGATTTCACTTTTATGTTCAGGATGATAAAGTTTAACTTTCTAAGCATAGTATGCGTATGGTTCATGACTTTTAAAATATATTTTAATGGTGGAGAGACAAATCCAGAAAGCAGTTTGGAGAAAGGAATCTACTTTTACTTACTATGAACCATTTCTTACAGGACTGTCTTTTCCTCCTTCAACTGAATAGGTAACCTACAGAAATTAGCTTCCCTAGCCTCTGGATCTTTTTGAATACTTTGCAAAAAATGCATTCCCACATTGTGTGTGTACCATGATCCAAACAAAATCATTTTAGAGCCTTCTCAGTGAGAAGCAGATATGTATTCTGGCAATGTTGGCTTGGGTGTATGTTAATCACATTTTAACAAATTCAGTTGTATGAAGAAATGAAAGTGTAAGTTTCTTGGACAGCAAGGCATTTATGAAGTAATTATTCTGAGTGGGAGTATCACTGAGGAAAATCGGTATTCAGAGATGCTTTCTGGGTGCCCTACATCTTGTAATGTTCACAAACCAGGAAATTGTTTTAACAAGTTGTTAGGCACTCTAAAATGTGAACTTTAAGCTCACTTTGTTGTGGAAAAACCAGTCATCCAGAAACTCTCTTTAAATTGGCATCCTTTAAAAGTATGTGAGATACTGACTTAAGTTTCAGCTTTTATGCAACTTTTAAGACATCATTTGTGGAATAGAACTGCATTTCTAATTTTTTAAGTCTGAACTTGAAGCAACCAATCTTTAAAAATCTGCTCTAGAACCCCCACATATGGCTGATGGCTCTTGAGAAGAAAGGGTACTTTGAAGTGTGACCTCAAGAGTATTAAATGAAAGGGAGCTCACCAGAGCCTTAAGCCTTTGAGCCACCACCTTGAGCTGATTGGCTTAGAAGCATTCCTCAAGGAGATGCCATGACCTGCAAGTCACTACCATCCCAACCACATATTAGTGCTGCTTGCAATCTGGAACTCATGACAGCTTTAAGCCCCGTGTCATCGGCACATTGTCAGAAACAGCTGTTTCCACTCTACCACTTCAAAAGAGCTTGATTAAATGTCTTACTGTAACAACATACATAAAGACACACACATAGAATGAGGGGGAAAGGAGAAATGTACCTATAAGCAAAATAAATACAATTTCCACTAGATGGTTTAATCATGATGTGGGGGACTAAACCATTTCTTGACTTGAAAGGTTTATGTAATCAGTTAACACAATATCAAATTAAAAAGCAGTTTCTGTAAGTGCCCCTTTTATTTTTTTTCCCAGTACTGGAATACAGATTTTCATGTCAAAGGCTCCAGGCTTGCAATAAGCTCTACCTCGAGCTGTGTAACAGTTGAAAGAAGAATCTTGATGATTTCCAGATAATTAACTGTATTTTTATAGCCATTTTACAGGTAGCACGCTTTCAGTGCCTCCTTATGGAAAGTGTTCTTTATATATAGGTTTTGTTCATGGCAAGACCTCTAAAAATGAATATACTTCTGATAGTACATACATCTTTAAAAAATAAAGTAGATGTTGGATTTCGTCTTGAAACATATGTAACCAAGATCTGCTTTATTATGTACTTTTTCCTTGGGTATTTCCATGCCAAATTTCCCTATTTGACTTTCTCCTGAACGTTCAGTAATTCTCTCATGTAGCTTTCCCAGGCTAGGAGTCATTTTGAGGGAGATGGCTTTAATGCATTTTGCCAGCTTGTTAAGGGCATGTCCTGTTATTGCCAGGGAGAATTTTCACAAAACTTTTAAGAGCTCCTGCTATGTTAGTTCTGCTGCTGATGGCAGTAATGGATGAATTAAGAGTGATTCTTAAATTATCCGCAGCTGATCCTCAATTGACAGGAGGATTCTGTCACACTTCACTGGATCCAGTGTCCTCCTCACGCTGCTGATACTGCAGATCCCTCACAGTGATGAGACTGCAGGTCTTTTGAGGAGGTCTGTCCAGTCCATTGTCATCCTAACCCAACTGGAGTGTCTTGTCATTGCGCTCCTGGTTCTGGCACATAGTACAGATAAAGCTGAATGTTCCTCTAGAGAAACGGTACATATATGATTTTTACACCATGTATTATTGCCAGTAAAGCATGACACTTTCCAGTTGAGAATCCTTGTTTTAAAATGTTCTTCTATGTCTTTACTTGTTTATTCAAAGTAGTGATCACATGGCAGTCTTTCTCTATTGGTGTCATTGAATGACCACAGAGCTGTGTTTTTCGATAGTTAGCATCCAGCAGATTCACCTTGTCAGTTGTCTGCCATAACTTGTGTCTGCCTTTACAGAAAATACAAAAGTGGGCCTTGTGGGGCTGGTGGAGCTTCTGCAGACGGCCTGCCTGCCCTCCAAGCTGCTCCTGGCATCTCTTGCCCTGTGTCAGGGCTGCGCCGCTTCCCACTACCAGCACCAGCTGCTGCTAAACCTCGCATTGTTTAAGGCTTCCTCTCAAGTGTGCCAAACTTTCTGCCTCAATGATATGAATGGCTGTGGATTCCTTCCAGCCCAGCAGCACTCTTGGCCTCCTCAAAATGCCTCCTTTCTTTTCTCTTGGTGAAGGTGTGAGGAATAAGGAAACTTCCCAGGATCCAGTTTTTCCTCTCTTCCTGCTCTGTTGTTCCCTAAAGACTGAACCAATTGTTGTAGGATGTGCAGGACTTTTAGGGACTAAAAAGGGTACTGTGGCTTCCTGATGAGAAGATAGGCATGACTGATGTGAACTGTATTTCCAGATGGCATACTTTTAATAGTTTGACTTCAGACAGATACAAGGATGGGAGGTGTAGACATGGATCAGCTCCGCTGGGAGAGGAGATAGTGGAACAACCTGAGAGAAAAGAAGACACCACTCTCTGATCTCAAAAGGATGAGAGAGCCCTTTCTTGGTTAATGTAAATTGGGCAGACTTTCCCCATTGACAGGCAATAAAAGTCTGACTCTGAGATTTGATATCAGGATAGACATTTTTCAGCCTGCCTAGCAGAAGGCTGACCTAGCCTAAAGGTTGTGCAGAATGGAGAAATTCAAGATAATTAACATTAACTGAATGCAAGCTGCCTTTCATTTCAGGTAGAAAGGCTCTTCAGTTTTTGTACAGAAATAGCAACACTTCTCCATATAAAGAGTTTATGCATGTATGAACTCTCTTTGCCCCTCCTGAGCTGGAAAGCTTTTTGAAGCTAATTTGGGTCCCCAGCTCAATTTTCTCTTCTTGTTGATGTCATCACTTCACCCCTTTCAGGTTCTTATACTCAGTTCATCCTTCTTGTCTGGAGTTCAATGCACGGCAGATATGTTATGTATGTCCAGCTATTTGGGGAAAACTGTGTTCTTTTGAACAAAAAGTTATCTTTCTGTATTTGCAATTATATTTGTTCATTGTCCTCCTATATATTTTAAAGACATTTAA